TCACGAATGATTTAAATAGAGACCATACAATAATACCACAACAAAATGAACACGATATTTTTGGAGCATTTGTAGCTAGCCAACTTAAAATGTTATCATCTATTCAGGCTATTACTGCTCGGGATGAAATCAATGCTACATTATCTCGTTGTCGAAAGACGGATTTAAATTATAGTAATACAACATTTTCATACCAGACACCGAGTCACGAGTCTTCAGACACGACATTCAGTATTGACTATGAAGATTCAACGAACGTTTTCGATGTGATTACCACAGCATTCAAAAATGCATAATGTTGTGGAGGTGGAAAAACATCACATTCTTTGTTATTATTCCCAAATGTATTTTTAATAAATAAAAAATAATACAAACCTTAATGTTTTCTTCCAATACCTTGTAGATTTCGACACATACTTCTGGTATAAATTTGCCTATAGCACATCTTGAAACCCGATAAAAGTGACTAAGCCTCCTGTAACTAATACCGGACGAAAGAAAATCTAAAGTGATCTCCAATTTTATTCTTGCAGGTAACGCCTGTCTCATTATTGTATCCATTCCTTGTATTTTTGGCGTCACAAGACTCAACAGAATATCAAACACATCGGGCGTAATTCGCAAAATACTCTTGTACTCGCCTATATCGTTATTGCAAAGTTCTTTTAAAAGTAAAGCGATGATCCACGTTCATTCCTTCTTAAAAGCCATGGTCTTGTCCATATACGTTTTTCTAATACATCTAGTAATTCGTCTAATGCAAATTGACATAGTTTCCGAAGTAACTGTTTCAGTTGTATTGTGTTTTTCTTACGAATGCAGTTCATTTTACTTCACGGACGTTTTGTACCGTCAATACCGTCAACCGTCTGCAATGGTACTGGCTTGGCTGGGTTAAAATTACTGGCATCATGTAAACAGCACTAGCATCTTCCAAGCGAGGACAGCAAGCCAGGACAGTTATCTAGCTTACCTAGCTTGCTATCCTAGCTTACAAAACTAGCCTCGTGTATCCCGGGCATAATGGTCAGTCGTCGTATAAAAAGCTCTATATAAAAAAAATTCTTGCGTTAGATTTGGCCCTTCTTCTTCTTTATCTTCTTCACGTTCCACTATGTGGCCAAACTGATATTTTTACAAATACTAAGACAACGCAAGATTTTCAAGTACAGTAAAACCTCGATATAACTAATACGGGGAATGCAGTGTCTGTTATAGCCAAAAGTCCATCAATTTTTGGACAGACGGAAAACTACCTATACAACAATCTGGCTGCTGAATAGCAATTAAAACTGAAACTAATAATAGACCTAGAGCTATAATAGAAAGTTTCGGGTTTAGCCGCGCGTCTTCAGACACACGTTTAATTTATCTACTCAAACGTCACTTGATGGTACAAAATTGTAATATATTTCTCGACGTTGGTAAGTTTCACAAAACCGGGAAATCGGACACTTATTTTGGAACACAGGGAGTAATTTTTTTATTAAACGGTTGTTTTATTATTTAGATGGTCCAACAATATTTCAAAAATGTTAAAACCTGGCGGTCAATTTTTCGCATATATGATTGTGAACAAATGTTTTTATAACGAGATATTAATAGAGCAACGAAACGAAAAAGATAAACCTTGGTGGAAATATATTAACGATAAACCAAATCAATTTGTTGATTACGGATCTAAACCAACCGATTTTATTGCTGATGTTCTTCACAAAGCTGGATTAGAAACAATTAAAATTAATTGTGAACGTAAATATTCTACATTTTCCAACATACAAACTATTAAAGGTATTTTTTTTTAATTTTACGTAAATTGTGTTTATTAATTTTTTTTATTGTTAAGGTACTATTGGAACGATAAATCCATATTCTAATTTTATCCCAGAATCAATGAGAAATGATTACATGGAAGATTATCTCAATAAAGCCATGAAATATGTTCAAGTAGATAGTGATGGAAATTATTATTTCTTTTTGGATGTTCTTAGCGTTCTTGCTAAAAAAGTTTAAAACCGAAAATCGTATAAAATATCTTCTTTATTAATATGAATAAAAAGTTACAAAATCTATTTTTTAGTTGCTATAAAACAAACAACTTCCAGGGTATAATGATAACCTTTTTCATCAATTTTCAATCGATCAAATATTCTACGCAAGAAATCCGCTAAGTAATCGTCTTTCATTTCTGGGGGTACATATTGCGAAAATAAACTGAAGCTTGAAGCTGTTTCTATAATAAAAAAACAAAAATAAATTCAACAATCAAAACAATTTTTTCAATATTACTTATCATGTTTTCTTTTTTCTCAAAACTATTCGTTGCATCTTCTCTTGCAATTGAGTCAACCGTAAACCCAGCTTCGCTTAAAATATTTGTGATTACCTGTACTGGGTTTGACCCGACAAAATTAAAAGGATTTGGTCTATTTTGAATATGCGAATTCCATGGAGCTGATTTATCAGCTGTCTGGTCATTAATTACATCTGTAATTAAATTTGGAGAATTGACGACTATACCAAAGACTTGTCCCCCCGTTTTTAACATTTTATATGCATTCTTGGGCCATCTACAAATCACTTTTCATAAAAATGTTTACCATAAAAATAAAAAAAAACATTCTTACACCTCTGCAGGTTTAACCAAATGGAAGCAATAAAACGCAAAAATTTTATCAAAGCTCTCTTTGTACAAATCACCTTGATTCAAATCACCAAAATTCATTTCATCAAAAAGAATTTTTGAATTATTATTCGTCGCTTTAGCAACTTCAATTGCCGCTGCAGAAATATCTACGGCTAATAAATTATTTATCTTCTTCTCCTTTAAATACGGATACAAAACTTGAGTTGTAATAGTTCCACTAGCACATCCAACTTCGAGAACGTTTTCGTTTTCATTCCATTTTAACGCATCTTGATATTTTCGCAAAAAATGTTGCGTTTGATACAACGTATTAGGATTGTATTTGGAAAAATCTGCCGGATTTTGCATGATTCTAACGAAACGATATTTACTGTACTACGAATTAATCTCAAATCGAGCTGCTTCGAGCGATTCGGTTGAAGGTCATTGTCGTATCAAAATAGTTTTTTTTTTAATCTGTACGCATGCGCATTTAATAGATTTAAAATAAAACAAATCCTATGTTGTTAACAATGATTATGATTATTTTTTTATTAAGTATAGTTAAGTTTATTTTAGACAACCAAACATGCGCAAGGGATCATTACGTTTTAAGTTTAAAAGTTGTTTTTCTTAAATAATATTCTGCTTTGTTCATAATGACCATTTATGTTTTTAACCAAATAACCAATTTATTTTAACTTTCCAGCATATGTTAGGAGAACATTAAGTGTAAGGAATGTTGTTGAAAATGCGTTTGGCATTTGATATTTGTCGGTACAAATTTTAAAATTAGTAAGCAGAATGAATCTTCTTGATTTTCGTCGACTTTGAGAAGGTTTTTGACTCGTTAAAGAGAAGAATCATGTGGCATATTCTGGAAGAATATGGGTCCCTCTAACGATCATCAGTGTTATCAGGGAGATGTATGAGGTTATAGAATGAAGGAGGTGGGATTTTCAGCTATTCAGTGGAAGATGCAAGACAAACTTGAGAAACTTGAGTTTGCGACGATTTTCACTAAGATTTTATAACATGGAGGTAAAGCTGGGAAAACTGCATGATAACGCAGAAGTAGTAGAAGTAAAAGTTAATGTTCATAAAACGAAGGAGATGAGGATTAATTCTGTGGTCATTCTAAGTCAACAGCGAATAGAAGAGACTTGGAATGAGTTGAAACATTCGTATACCTTGGTTGCATTTTTGGGAAAGATGGAGGAGGATGTGAAGGATCGCATGCAGAGAGCAAATAGGGGCTTCGTGCAATTGTACCCTATCTGGAGAAATAAGAACATTTCAAAAAGAATAAAACTACGCTTGTTCAATAGTAACGTAAAATCAGTAATCTTGTATGGGTGTGAAACATGCAAGATCGTCAAAAGGATGTTAAACAAACATAAATTTTTTTGCCCATCACCCATCACGTCTGAAAATTAATGACTGCTTAGTGGTTTGTTGGTTAACATATAGTATAGTGAATACGGAGCAGGAATAACAACAATTTTTGATATAAAAAAGTGTAAAGAGAATCTGAAAAGACTGAAAACTGATTTTAGACATTTGCTAAGGAACTTCGATATTTACTGTACTATGAATTAATAGCAAATCGAAGCTGCTTCTTGTGCATTGTGTATATAGAGCGATTCGGTTGAAGGTTTTAGATTTATTGCTAAATGTGATTCTGATCCTGGCGCCAGAAAAACTTTAGGAACTGCCGAATATCCAAAAATGGAAACTAATTTGTATACAAGGTTTTGTACGCAACGATCAAGACACGTTCTAATTTCCTACGAAGTTTTATCTGCCAAAGCAAAGCAGTATTATACTGAAACCTATGGAAAAGATAATTTTAGAGCTAGCAGAGGCTGGATTTCAAACTTCAGACTTCAGAGAGAATGATCAAAATGCCGTCGATCCTTCCCTAACTAAATACAATGCAGATGAATTTGTTCTGTATTGGAAAATGCTGCCTGAACCTCCGTCATACAAACGGAACTGACCGCTATCAAACTTGCTGTTGATTATATTGTTGACTCGAACAAACGCGGTAAGTGTTATACTATTTATACAGACAGTAGGCAATCTGTTTTAGCGTTAAGCACCGTTAAGATAACGTCTGCACTAATAATGGACTGCCATCTAGCACTGGAAGAAGCCACGAAACACAATCGTGTCACTATCCAATGGATCAAGAGACACTCCGGCTCTACGGATAACAAACATGCGGATAGGCTGGCAAAGCGTGCTGCCAGCAGAGTTCCCTGTGCACCCGAGCCGATAATTACCCCTTCCTTAGCTACTCATATCAACATGATTAAGCACATTACCCACAAAAAATTCCTAAACGCGTGGGACAAAACCCCGGGCTGCTATCTTGCTAAGGATTTGTTAAAATATCCTTCGAAATCTACAGCTCAGTTTTTCGTAGGGCTTGCAAAAACGCCCTTCGATTAGCCACAGGTCTCTTCACGGGACACTGTAAGGTAAACAAGCACCTTCACAGTATGAAGCTTGCAAATTCTCCTCTCTGTCGAGCCTGTGAACAGGACGACGAGACCGCTAGACACATCTTGTGTGATTGCCCCTCTCTAGCATACCTCAGAATGAGGACCCTCGGAGAGGCATGGCCGACCACAGATGATATCAGGAACTTACCTCTGAGTAATATCCTGGCCTTCGGTAATTCCCTAGGCTGGTTGATGTGAAAAGAGGTTATGTTGGGAGTATGCACAAGGGGTCCAATGGGGCCTAAGTGCGGTGTGCGGGAACGCATGCACTCCCGTTTCCTTACATACACATACATGCTGCCTGAAAAAACGCTGGTTCGTTCTCAAGAGAAAACCGCACCATGTCGAAAAATAAGCAAAGAACGCGCTACTTTTCTAGCACGTTGCAATGCTGATGATTCACAAAAATTAATTTCTAGTTTTAATTAAGAAGACGTTGTTAAGTTACAAAAACATTAACAAAAGGACGCTGTATGTCTACTATGCAATACTTGGGAAAAAGTCTCCCCCGAAGACTTGGAGAATTGCTGGCACAAAATTATCAAATTTTGCATTAAAAGGAGGACACTTTAATTAATAATTGGTGATATTTCCACAAGGATCCGTTAAGAAATGACTTTTATAGCGAATTTTGAAAATTGCCAATGAAAATTGCAACATCGAAAATTTTATCAAATCTCGAAATATTGTTTTCTCAAAAACTAAAAGTTATTTTTCAAAACGTGTTAGGTCATTGGAAAGAGGACACTTTTATTAACATTTTGGAAAATTTTCATACTCATACTCCAAAAAATCGATTTTATACGAATTATTAAAATTTGATCGGCGGAAATTGCAAGATTCGAAAAAAATTTCGATTAATTCAAAAATTTATTTCTCAAGAATTAAAAGTGATTTTCCAAAACGGCTTTTTGCATTATAAAGAGAATACATTAATCAATAATTGGTGATATTTCCACAAGGATTCTTCAAGAAATGAATTTTATAGCGAATTTTGAAATTTATCGATGAAAATTGCAACATCGAAAATTTTATCAAAATTTCAAATATTGTTTTCTCAAAAACTAAAAGTTATTTTTCAAATCGTCTTGGTTCATTGGAAAGAGGATACTCTTATAACACTTTGGGAAATTTTCAAACTCATATTCCAAGAAATGGATTTTATACGAATTTTGAAAACTTAATCGGCAAAAAATGTAAAATTCGAAAACATTGTCGATCATTTCAAAAATTTCAAAAAATACCAATACAATAATCTGGCTGCTGAATAGCAATTAAAACTAAAACTAATAATTGACCAAGAACTATAATAGAAAGTTTTAGGATTAACCTCAACAAAATAAACCTTGGTGGAAATATATTAACGATAAACCAAATCAATTTGTTGATTACGGATCTAAACCAACCGATTTTATTACTGATGTTCTTCACAAAGCTGGATTAGAAACAATTAAAATTAATTGTGAACGTAAATATTCAACATTTTCCAACATACAAACTATTAAAGGTATTTTTTTTTTAATTTTACGTAAATTGTTTTTATTAATTTTTTTTGTTAAGGTATTATTGGAACGATAAATCCATATTCTAATTTTATCCCAGAATCAATGAGAAATGATTACATGGAAGATTATCTCAATAAAGCCATAACATGTTTCAATATGTTCAAAAAGATAGTGATGGAAATTATTATTTCGTTTTGGATGTTCTTAGCGTTCTTGCTAAAAAAGTTTAAAACCGAAAATCATATAAAATATCTTCTTTATTAATATGAATAAAAAGTTACAAAATCTATTTTTTAGTTGCTATAAAACAAACAACTTCCACCGTATAATGATAACCATTTTCATCAATTTTCAATCGATCAAATATTCTACGCAAGAAATCCGCGGAGTAATCTTCTTTCATTTCTGGGGGTACATATTGCGACAATAAACTGGAGCTTGAAACTGTTTCTATAATAAAAAAAACAAAAATAATATCAATAATCAAAACAATTTCTTTCAATATTACTTATAATGTTTTCTTTTTCCTTAAAACTACTCGTTGCATCTTCTCTTGCAATTAAGTCAACAGTAAACCCAGCTTCGCTTAAAATATTTGTGATTTCATGTACTGGGTTTGACCCGACAAAATTAAGAGGATTTGGTCTATTTTGAATATGCGAATTCCATGGAGCTGATTTATCAGCTATCTGGTCATTCATTACATCTGTAAAGAAATTTGGAGAATTGACGACTATACCAAAGACTTGTCCCCCCGTTTTTAACATTTTATATGCATTCTTGGGCCATCTACAAATTACTTTTCATAAAAATTTTTACCATAAAAATAAAAAAAACATTCTTACACCTCTGCAGGTTTAACCAAATGGAAGCAATAAAACGCAAAAATTTTATCAAACCTCTCTTTGTACAAATCACCTTGATTCAAATCACCAAAATTCATTTCATCAAAAAGAATTTTTGAATTATTATTCGTCGCTTTAGCAACTTCAATTGCCGCTGCAGAAATATCTACGGCTAATAAATTATTTATCTTCTTCTCCTTTAAATACGGATACAAAACTTGAGTTGTAATAGTTCCACTAGCACATCCAACTTCGAGAACGTTTTCGTTTTCATTCCATTTTAACGCATCTTGATATTTTCGCAAAAAATGTTGCGTTTGATACAACGTATTAGGATTGTATTTGGAAAAATCTGCCGGATTTTGCATGATTCTAACGAAACGATATTTACTGTACCACGAATTAATCTCAAATCGAGCTGCTCCTTATGAATTGTGTATATCGAGCGATTCGGTTGAAGGTCATTGTCGTATCAAAGGTTTTTTTAATCTGTACGCATGCGCATTTAATAGATTTAAAATAAAACAAATCCTATGTTGTAAACAATGATTATGATTATTTTTTTATTATAGTTAAGTTTATTTTAGACAACCAACCATG